ATCCTTCAGATCGAATCACGATTATGAGTACACTCATTCATGTTGAAATGAAAGACTTATAGTACAGACGTTCACTTGTACATTGAATAGGTCAGCGGTGAACAATTTTTTTTGACATTGTGAGATTTGCGTTCCCAATAGATAATCAACTTCATCACTCTCAATTACCGATTGAGTTGCGAAAACGATCAGAGGAAACCGATGTTCAAACGCTTGGTAATTGAAGGCGGACCTTAATGCATTACAGAGTCTGTAGAGGATTATCTGAGTGAGTATATAATAAATCTCTCCTGTTACTCGCTTTCACTTTTTATTCAACAAAGACTATTTACCAGGTAGGTGAAACGTTGAAATTTTTTCCTACCAACAACTAGTCACTCTGGTGTCAATTCTCTGAAAATTTATTGAACAAACATATATCTCTGATGACCCCAAATGTTTGTAGAAATATGTATGATGATACTATGTTCTCATCAGTTACCATATTCTTCTTATTCTTACTACCTTTTACTGGTTTTTGTTGTGTGTTTTCGCAATTTTTTCAATTTCGTTTTTCATTTATCTCTCTCCTTCTTCTCAGGTTTTATTTCTTATTTTACTTTTTTACGCGATATATTTATCATTGTCGCAATTTCGGTTTCACAATTACGATTTTAATTTTTTCTTAGCTGCAGATTTTTCATTTTATAGCTGTATTTGTTTAATCTATTCGCATATTCAGTTGCATTTCTACACTCTTATATGACCTTCAGGATTTCGTTTCTCTATTTTTGTTTTTCTTTGTCAAATGCTTTTCGCTTGTTTTCATTTAATATTTGTCCTAGTGGTCCGAGGATATTTAACAGTTCCGCTGAACACTGGTTTTATCATCAACGCATTTAGAATATAGTTCTTCATGGCAGTACTTTTTTGTGACTGACAATGCTTTTCATTTTGTTGCAGAGGCTTTAGTATCTGTTTGAGTGGCATAATATACAAGCATCGGTTCACTTCTCTTGAACAATTGTTTCAATACCTCAACAGAAAATATCGTTGAGACAGTAAAAACTGCTATAACGATGAAATTACCAATATTCGCTCTGAATGTAGTGCCAAAAAGCCAACTTTTATTCTGCTCGAGAGCTCAACGTCAAGATTAAGCACTGGTAATTTTTTAATCACAGTTCTCAAATGAACATTTTTCATCAGGTGACAAATATTACGCACCTGTCGATAATCAGGTGATGGATGGGAAAGAAACTCATTCAAAAGTACCTTCATATCTGTGGTCACTCAATGTTTATGCCTTTTTTGTCATGACTGTAATACTAGTTTAGCTAGTTGACATAGTTACCCTGGTTCGTAAATCAACTTATGCGAGTTGAGGGAAAGTCATTTTGCAAAAATTATAGCTAAATTCTATGCAGAAAAAAAAACAGTCACACTGAAGTACGAGTTTGTTTTTTCGAGGTTCAATAGAACATGAGTGGATATGTATCTTCTGCTACCAATGGTAACGATAGACGACGGCAATCTCATCGCCGCTTTGTTAGTCATTCTGTGTGTGACCAATGAAAAGGACTGACTCCAGAAAAGCCAAGGATATTAGATCATTTGGAAAGGAAGACCAACAAGGTTAATCTTCCGTCGCTTAACGTGCACCTCCATTTGTTTTATGCTGTAGTTTTGATAGTCGATCAGGAAACCACTAGAAGTTACTCAGACAATATGAATTGTATGTCGTTTCTAAGGTCCAAGATAATGGTCAGTTTTTATATTCTATTATAAAGGGAGGGCTCGGGAATTCGCGGTGCAATGTATCGTGCTTTCACTAACGTCAGGTTATTGTAGAGCATATAATATCCCGGAGTGATTGTTTGTGAGTACATATGATGTTTTCCTAACCCTGTTTAAAGGATTGATTTAAAGTTCTAGGGCGGAATACAACGACGAAGAAACCCTGTCTAGTCTGTCAATCAAAACAGATAATAGTTTGATAGCATTAGAATAAAACGGACTGTTTAGAGTACCTCAACTTTCCGAGGTGCTAAGAAAAACATGGTCACAAATGAAACAGTCTATAACAGTCAGGTAGGGGACAAAAATGGTCGGGAATCTACATTTTCTTAGCTGATAGAGTTTGTGCTGTTAAGCGTTGCGGTATGACTCAGTAGATCAATGCAAACTGTGACAAATATTAGACAAAGTACGAACAAGATGGCCTGTTTCACAAATTTCATATCACCTAATATATTTTAGTTCAAGCCGAAATGTGCAATACGCAAAGGATATCACATTTTTGAAGATACAACCTCGAGGTGCTCGGCATCAGTGAAACGCATTGGACACAGGTAGGACAACTGAGAATTGCTTCAGGGGAACTGCTGTTATACTCTGGTCATGAAGAGGAAAACGCTTCACATACACAAGGAGTTGAACTGATGCTGTCCAAACAAGCACGAAAGCACTGATAGAATGTAAATCACATGGATCCAGTATCAATAAAGCATCCTTCAAAACAAAGAAAGAGGACATTACAATGAACGTCATCCAATGCTACGCACCTACCAATAACTACAATCACAACTTTAGTGATCAATTCTACGAAAGGCTGCAGTCAATCGTCGACAGATGCTCACCGATGGATTTGACCATTCTGATGGGAGACCTAAATGCCAAGGTTGGCATGGACAACGCCGGATATGAAGACATCATGGGACGACATGGACTGGGAGAAAGGAACGAAACCGGTGAGAGATCTGAAAACCTGTGTGCCTTAAACAAACCAGTCATCGGTGGCACAACATTCCCTAACAAACGCATTCACAAACCTACATGGATCTCACGGGACCGCACTACTCCAAAACCAAAATGACCATAACTGTATCAACGAAACTTTCAGAGGGACTATGGAGGATATGAGAACCAGGAGAGGAGCTGATATAGCCTCAGATCACCACATGCTGGTCGCTAAAATAAAACTGAATCTCAAGAAACACTAGACAACCGGGCAGACAACATCACAGAAGTTGATAGGGCCTTTCTGCAGGATACCGTAAAAATCAACGAATTCAAGATAGCCCTCACCAATAGGTTCCAGACCTTGCACGATATACTCAATGAAAAAGAAGCAACGTTGGAGAACAATTGGAAAGGGATTAAGGTGGCAATCATTTCAAAATGTCACGAAGTTCTGGGTCACAAGACGTACCATCACAAGGATTGGATGTCTGTTGGTACTCTTGCAAAAATTGAAGAAAGGAGGAACAAGAAGGCAGCAATCAATTTCAGCCGAACAAGAGCAGAGAAAGTTAAGGTGTGGTGGCCAATTTTGACGTGTTCTTAGTCTTCGTAATTAGCTCGTCCAGACAATCGTTATTAAGTAGCGTCTGTCGGTTTATAAATCAGAAGGTAGACTCAAAGTGTTGTATAAGTTTATTTTGACACACCACAAATAGGGATAGCAGACCAAAAGCAGACCGGGCAGACACACTAGCGAGCGAATGTGCGAATGATTGATAAGATTAAAATGTTCATATATATACAAAGGAAAATGTCTGAGTCATCGTGATATTTAAGAGAATAATATTAAAGCGAATAGGATGAATATAAGCGTGGGCAGTAAGCGACGCTCAGTTGTACAAGCTCAAACAAACCAGACAAATGGCTTGGTCAAATAGAATAATCGAAACGCCTGACCAAATTAAATGTAAGTGAACTCGAATATACGTGGAGGCACTACAAGCTCTCCTTCGCTCTAGATTTCTTACAACACTTAATCTCAGTAAGATTCTCACGTTAAGTAGAATGCGAAGAATTTTCCTCATGGTGTCTTTCCTACGTCTGGTAACCCGAAAATAAGTACACGCTCGCACTAAAGGATGGTCTAAATCTAAACATGTACTTCAGAACAAGCGGCAGTCTTCTGTCGAGCATCTTCATCCGTGGCTGATAGCTATCTGATCCAGCTGGGTTTAACGCTATGTCATAAAATGTATTTGCTTGTGCTTAAAGTTATTATTTGCTAGAAATGAGCGGTTATGGTAGCATAGTTTCAGCAGACAATCGCCATTATCTGTTCGATCAGTCGCATCACCTTAAGATACACACAAGTGCCTTTCCTTTAAGCTTAATCTATCTACGTCAATAATTAAGTCACCAGCCACTTTTGCTACATTATAGCATAACCTTTCAGAAAAGGTTAGAAATAATCATGTTATACTCAACTTTTATCTCATTTGAGGTATATCTGAACAGCATTCATGACGGTGGTGTGTGAAACTGAATCTACCCTTTTGTTTACGGCTCCATACGATATAGAAGGATGTAACTAACCACTGATACTGGTTACTTTATCTTCTTAACGACGTCTACGAGTCATGTTCGTAACATCGCACCAATAAATCCTATGAAATGGAGATCTAGAAAATCACGGTGGAAAAGAGCACACTCGTGACTTCTTGAGCTATGACGTTAAACGGAAAAATGATAAATAAAATATCACTAAATCATCAGATCAGTATTGCTTCAATATCCGAAACCAGGACCTTCTGTGTTGTGCACGAATGCCCAACCTCCGGACCACGGCGTCGGCATCAAACGGTGTTAATGTCTAACTCTGATTGATCTAGGGATTTTGCGCGACCCCTCTCATTTGTCTTTCGGAGTTACTGCCTACATCCGACAGGTTTGAACTCCACTGGTCACGTCTTCTCACTAGAACTCCGAGAATTTCCTTACAAAGCTAGTCAATAGTGAGCACGTTTAACGATATTTTCAACTATATTCATGGAGTTCTAGTGGGAAGACGTGACCAGTGGATTTCAACCTAGATATTGGATTAGATATTGGACTGATTAATTACCTTTTCAGTTATTTACTTAATTCCTTAAATCTCAATATCTCATTATCACATAAATTTTTCCATACTATTTTCAACCTTACAGAATTTGCTTTATGAATGACCTCAAGATTTTGTTTGTTCACTTCATTTAATGTGACTTTACATGAACGTCATAGAGGTTTCATTGAATAAGCGTCTTCAGTATTCAATTTTCCAACATGCTTGCAAATTCTGATAATCTAACTTGTTGCCCTCGTCTAATTGATTACTTGGTGTTTGTAGGTCAAAAAGGACATTCTCCGTCGGATGATGTTCACAACCAAACACCAAGGATTCTGAAATGTTATCCGCAGACAAAACATACAGACTTTGTTTTGCCTAATGATGTTGTATACTTCTGCCAGCCTGAGGGATGTTTGTCATCAAATTTGAGTGCAACGAACTTGGTAATATTTTGAATAACTTTGATATTAGTAGGGAACTACAACGTTTGTGTTTACTTTGACGGATAAAGATTCACAGAAAACTCGCTTCGGAATATGCCTGAACTTCTTCAGGCCTTGCTATGTAGGTTATTCAGAACTCTTCATTTTTTGCACGAGTGTTTTTGTTTTTATGGTTACTGAGTGCAACAAAGTTTATACATTTTACTGTCCATTAATTTTTATGAACAAGTAAACGTTTGTTGATTTCTCTGCGCTTGTTTTTTGTTGTTTGAATACAGTTAGAAGTATTTGATACTGTTGAATTGACTTTAGTCTTGCTGCTTGATTTTATTTACTTCAGTTAGTCGTTAGTTAGTAATGAGTTTGTATGTTCAGCGATTTGAGTGTGTTCGAATCAATGCAGTAGGGTTTCTGGATACCGGTAGCTATCACATTACTTATTTAGTTACTTGTCATGGAAGTCGATCCAAGAGGTTTCTATCTCTCTTGAGGAGCAAGGGTACAACAACATTGTGAACTCCAAGGTGTGACCGTTCACAGCACTTTTTGATTATTGCTCATGTGTTTGGAAATCGTTTCTCATATTCTTTCTAGTTACTCATAAAAACACACTTCGTAGGCCAAGAAGCCATTTAATTTTCTAACTATTCATCTGTCGTTACTAAAGGCTAACTGGTTCCTCCTTATGTAAGGCTCTTTCTAATAAGACAGTTATTTTCATTTTTATTTAGTTACCTACAAGTTGAACGAAATTGTAAACTAGGTTCGTTATATTTTTGTTCGGTTAGTCTAGTTCAGTATAGTGGTTGATATTATGATCCATACTTTGCACTCATTTCAAATATTCATTTGCTTACTAATAGAGATGACATTGATAGCAAACTAGTGACCCTCAGAAACGATCTAAATTTCTGAAATCTAGTTTTAACTAGTAAATGTTCTTGGATTATGTGTTTTTGAGTCCCCTATCATCATGTATTTTAAAAGGGATGTTAGCCGATGAATATGATTGTTACAACAGAACTTTTTCAGTGCTTAAATGTGTGCGTGAAACTCCGATTTTGCGTAGCAACGTAAATAAAACTTCACCTAAATCGAGATAAAAACAATAACTAAATTTCAGATGCCGATCAGCGCAACTAGTAAACCGGGTACTAGTATTATGTTTATATTCTGTATGCGTTAAAACTGTGTTGAGCATTCTCAGTCAGTCAATTTCAACGTGGAACTTCGTACGTATGTACATAAGTTCTGGTTGCCATATCACATTATCACAGAGACGAAAATGTCAAATCAAATCCCATAATGATAGAGATAGTAGAGGTATTATTGGTAATGAAGAAGACTAGGGTTTGATGATATTATTCAAGAAGTATAATTCAGTGAGATAAGGTTAGAAAGACAATGGTAGAGATGCCAACGAATCCAGAGAGCACAACGAGTGGATGTACTTGCGCGATTTCAAACGATTTTGAGCCATGACGTTCAAGGTCTCTAACCATTAGTGACTTTGCGGACCCCAACCTGGTAGCCTACATCTACCAACATGACTCAGTCCACTTGTCAGTGACTTCATGGATTTGTGCCATGTTTTGGTCTGGCCACCCCTAGCTTTCTTCCAACCTACTCCTACGCCACAAAACATTGTTCGACGAAGCAGTCGGTGGTTAGGCATTAGTAACGCATGTCCCAACCACCTCAACTGATGAAGTTTCACCACTTCATCTATTGATCTTCCATCCCAACCTAGTACTCGTTTCCTAAAGACAGCATTGCTTACTCGGTTGTCCCACGATATACGAGCAATGCTTCTTAAATATCTATGATCGAATACTAGTAACCCACGAACATCTTCTACTCCTAACGGACATGTTTCGCATCCATATAGGAGAAAGGAGCGAACTGCTGCGCAGTACACCCGTCCTTTTGTTAGCGAATGGATATCTCGCCTACGCCATAAACGGGGTAAATTGGCAAAAGCGAACCGAGCTTTCTGTATCCGTGCTGAGATTTCGTCAGTCACCAGGCTATCAGCACTCATAAGACTCTTCAGATAAGTGAAGTGATCAACACGCTCGACTGCTGCACTCCCTATCACTAGTTCAGGTACCGATGCAACCCAGTCTCGAAGTAACATTTTACGATTTGAGGGAGAAAACCAAATCCCAAACATGCTTGCATTGTTGCTTGTGGTGGTCAGAAGACTCTGCATTTTGTCAGCGTCTTCACCGAATAGAAATATGTCATCGGCATATTCTAGGTTAGTAAGCGGTTTTCCTGGCAGAAGGTCAACCCCTGAAAAATCTGACGAGCACCACTTGATGAAGAGAATTCAGATGAGAGTTCGCCATATGCTCTCACTCGACCAGTGGTGTTCGAGTAGACAGCATGTGTAAGGTGAATGTACTTCTTTGGCACACCTTTCAATGACAGACACTGCCACAGAACCTCACGATCCACTGAGTCAAATGCCGCTCTAAGGTCCTGGAACACAACTATTGTAGGACGCTTAAATATGTATCTGTGTTCCAGGACCTGTCGTAGTGTGAAGAAGTGGTCTATACAACCACGTCCAGGTCGAAAACCAGCCTGGTTTTCTCGAGTCTGCTCTTCACGAGTTCTAGTTAGGCGTCTAAGTATAATGGATGCTAACAATTTAGAAACTATATTAGTTAGACTTATTCCTCTGTGATTGTCACAAGAGGACTTTTGTCCTTTCTTATAGACTGGGACAATTAGTGACTGAGACCAGTCAGATGGGATTGCATCCAGTTCCCAGATTCTACCTAGGTTCTCGGTCAGTCTAACTGTTAAAACTGGACCACCATTCTTAAACATCTCAGGGGTAAGCCTATCAGGAACTGTTGCCCTACCTCCCCTTAGATTTCCTATAGCTTTCTCAATTTCATGTAGACTAGGAGGACTTAAATCGATTTGCCATTCTGGATGATTGGGGATCGTGGGCAACCAAAGTGTGGCTGATGACCAGTTGAACTGATCCCTAAAGTTTTCTGCCCATCGGTCCAGTCTCCTGGATTGAGAATAAATGATACAGCCATCCTTTTCCGAAATAGTCTCACTCACATTCGGGTTACCAATACCGGCTTTTTTGATAAGGCAGAAAAGTTGTCTAGTGTTGCCTATCGCCTCTGCCTTTTCCATCGCTCTCGCTTTCGCCACCCACCACTGTTTGCAGGCGGTACGTAGGCTTTTTATCAATCTACGCCTAAGCTGATTTCACTCTTCGTCATGTTCAGAGTCAGGTGGGATACGTTTTCGAACATCCATCAGTTCGGTGGATGCGACTAAAATCCACGGCTTCATCTTAGCCTTATGGTTTACCTTGCTACTAGATATCACTGCTGTTTCCACAGCCCTTTTGATACCATTCCAACCTGCCTTCGGATGGGAATCGCTTACATGGTCGCCTAACTGAAATCCGTGTGGTAGGGTGAGGTGTGACATTTTTAGGGTCAACATTTTCTAACCCCTCCTTCCTTTTGAGAAGGCAGCATCGCTGCAGATGCTGGTTATCCGAAGGAAACACCTTACTACTGTCACACCTCTCTACAGTCAGCAGTACGACTTCGCCCTCAGACCTTGGGTAGCTGCTTTTTGTCTCATCGTTCTCCAATCCACCTGCCTGGCATGGTAGAACCTTTAGGAACATATGTTCCAGCCAGTATAGCTTGGTTAGGTGATCACGATAGGCAAGCCCGACCACCATGTCAAGGTAGCAGCTAAGGTCGGGGTTGAGCATTCTAAATTACATTTACATATATGTTTATTAACTATGACAAAGATGTATTACTGAATTCGTATTAATTTACTAGGTACTTATCATTGGGCTGCACGATCATAAAATCACAATGATTCAGATTTCTAAGCTATTTCTCCCCATCTTTCACATAAAGCTTCATGAAGAGTTCAAAATTCTATTTCACTTTAAGGCTCAATTAAAATCATGGTTAACTATTCTGAATAGCTGTCAGAATATATTGATGACATTAGTATATTATTTTGTTCGGTCGATCACAGAAGTTAGATCGCAGGCCCTTGGTTACAAATCTCCACTGTTGCTGTCTGTTACATACAAAGGTAGTGGATATCAGTCAAAAAAAGTTAGCCTACTGTTTGCTGATCATCAGATAAGATGTAACTGAGAGGAAAATATAAACGTTCGGTGCAGTCTTTTTTGCTTCTACACTGGGAAATTGTTTTTTCTTTCGGATCCAACACTTTTTTGAAGCATCTAACTTTTTATCACCTTAAATTTTCAGATGTATTCAAATGAAGATGTCAACAGCAATTGGAATTCAAATTCAACCATTTTTAATGCATCTGAAGATTACTTTCGAATGAATAGTAATAAACAGTCAATCTTAACATCTTTATGTTTAATCAGCCATCATCCATTCTTTTCTAAATTTCGTCAATGTTTACATTCTCTCAAAGGAATTATTGATAGATGTGATGAATGCTTTCAAAACTCATATTCTATCAAAAAGTAGGATCATTTGTTTTATTTCTTATTGAGGTATTTGTATATATATATATTTATTTAATAAGATAATGAAATTTCAAAACTTTTGGTAAATTCTATTTTTTTCACCGTATTTAATAATTATTGTGTTTAATTTTTAAAAGTTTATAATTGATAAAAAATCAGTTTCTGTTGTACAATAATCAAACATTTTTAGAAAGTTAGAATTTGAAATCATCAATCAATCATTGTTAGACCACCATTAGAAACCTGGAAGCACTGAAAGACGAACGTTTCGTCCTGGTATGGGACTCATCAGAGGCAGTGTGCATCCACGACTACTGCTCCTCGCAGAATTCGAACCCGGGACCTTCGGTATTGTGCGTGAAAGCCTAACCATCGGACCACTGGGCCGGTATCTAACGGTTTTAATGTCTAACTCTGATTGATCTAGGGATTTTGCGCGACCCCACCCATTTGTCTTTTTGGTAGTTACTGCCTACACCCGACAGGGTTGAACTCCATTGGTCACGTCTTCTCAACTAGAACTCCGAGAATTTCCTCACGAAGCTGGTCACTAGTGAGCACTGTTACGATATTTTTGGGGCACAGTTTTGGAGGTTTGCGATTTTACACATTTGATTGATTGATGATTTCAAATGTGTAAAAACGCAAACCTCCAAAACTGTGCCCCAAAAATAAAGTTAAAATTAAAAGTTAATGCGATTAAAAGAATGTGAAACAAGAAATATTTATTCGTCACTATAGATCAGCGATAAAGTTGCATAGAATAATGTTTCTACGAATATGGAAAAGGAATTAGATCATAGTGTTTAACCATGGTTTAACATCGTATTCAACAATCTCTTTAGCTAAAAAAAACTACATGCACTTTTTAACTCATTGAATTGATGAATTATTCATTGTTAGATCAGCATTAGAAACTTGTAAAGCTTTAACGAATGGTCCTATTGTAGTGAAGGAGAACACAGGTGAAGGCAACCGAATTGTATTTTGCGAAAATTACAGAGTTACTCAGTAAAATAGGAAAAACATATCGACAATCGTTAATTTGCAAATCTTCAATCAATCATCAATACATTGTCAGACATTTCACTACTGTTCATGCGTTTCATACAAATTCCATTGTGTTCCCACTCTTCCTTTCTTCTTGATCTTCCCCCATCTTCTGCTGCCACCAGACATTACGTTTACACTCACGTCATGTAATACTTATAAGTAGCGCGCACCACACTATTATATTCATATTCTCTGTATAATGGTTCCAATTCATAAAGTGATCACTTTTAATTTTATAGCCATTAATCGCCATGATAAACTTGCACGTAAATAAAAGCATTTTTAAGATATACTTTTTAAATCCTATGCAAACTTTGTGTCAATCAAAGAATGTAAATAAAAGTAACTGAAATACATTTGACAATGAAATTGAATTCAACACATTATTGCCAAAACGTTTAGGTTAAAAAATAGCTTGTCAGTAATAGTCATCAAATGTTTATTTTTATGTATGAGTCTCAAAATATTTGACACTTTTAAGCAAACAGATACATGCTGAATTCCACCTTGAAGTATTCATCAGTACACTATCGGTGAATAACTGACTTAACTTCTTGTAGCCACAAATATTCGCTACTGATTGATATATATATATATCCATATTTATGAATGGATTGTGTAAATATTCTCGATTTATTTTGTATACAACAACAAGAACTTCCTATCCGGTTTTGGTTAATTTTTACTCAAGAAATTGAATGAGCTTACATATACAAGAAGCTTGTCTATCAACATCAGACTAGAATGACCACAAAACATGAAAAGCATTCATTGTGTAATTCTCTTTTAATTTTTCATAGATTTAATTCCTTCTGGTCAACTTTACTAAATAGTGAGTTAATTGAACAAAAAAATGCAGTTGATCGATTATTCATTGAAGTTGTCTATGAAATAGAATCATGGATTATCAATCTTTTAAATGCACCTGTACCTATTCCAGGAAAAACATGCTTACATGTAAGTTACATCTGTGATAATTAGTGAATAATTATCGATAAGCTATATGTTATGCTTGTTTTCATTTTGATATTATGAATTTAACTTTGAATTCCTTCAAATCTCACATTGGCTTTTAAACTATTGACCGTATATATATATATATATGGTCATCTGTATCAAGTTGTTAGATGATCCTGTTTATTGTATTAATTTCATGGATAGTTTTCGTTAAGTTAGGGAGAGACTTTTCACAATATTTGAAAGCGTAAACTATTTTATTTTTCAAAATTGATATACGTAATGTATTTTCGTCATTTGTGGAATTATTATCTTGGTAGTTTGCTAAGACTGAAACCAAAATAAAGTTTTTGAATGAAATATTTTTAGTTTATGGTTTATGTGAGCTATAAATTTGAAAAATCTATTATAAATTTAATCATTGTAGTATTATTTATGAAATATAATCTATTATTAAAGGTTATTTAATCAAGTTGTGAATATAGTTGTTATTACACATTTGAAATCATCAATCATTCATTTTTAGGACCACCATTAGAATCCTGGAAGCACTGAGAGATGGCCGTTTCATCCTGGTGCGGGACTCGTCAGTAGTGAGCATCGACGACTCCTGCACTTCGCAAGATCCGAACCCAGAACCGTCGGTCATGCGCGCTAACGCCTAATCTCTGAACCATTGGACTGATATCCAACGGTGTTTATGTCTGACTCTGATTGATCTAGAGATTTTGCTCGACACCACCCATTTGTCTTTGGTAGCTACTGCCTACAACTAACAGGGTTAAACTTCACTAGTCATGT